AATAGAAAATAGAAATATACAAATGTGATATTTTGTTAAGTTTTTGTTCAAGTATCACTAGAAATGTGAACATAGGAGCCAAACACTTTTTTTTTTCTTCCTTTAATCATTCTAATAAGTTCGAATCAGTGCATCAACATCTTCAGTTTAACGAAACTAAATCTCGACGTAACGTGCTCCTCCATCGCCGGAAGAGTAAATTAGAAGCATTACGTCGAATGACATCGTTTAAATATTATAAATACATAAAATCTTCTTATAGTCGCGCGCGGATGTACACTGATCCGAAGGATAATGTTTATTTGGTTTCGGCGATTATGTCATCGGATTGCAACTGAGAGGTTGCAGCATCGGATATATCGGCCGATTAGGAACTTGCAACCGGGCGGATGTAGGATTATGCTAATCGCAATAACCACTCGATGGTGGAATCCCGGCGACCTTGACCCAGACTAAGCCGATGATTCTGCGAGACGCGGAGAACGTCTTGCGAAGGTCGTTGCGAAATCGCTAGACCTCGATGCCACTTCCGAATATTGACCTTGCTTCGACGCCTCTCACGGACCTCGCCAGTTTCGTTTGCTTAGTAATTTACACACTACACTATCGCACCTTCCCGACGGTGCTTCGAAACTGTTCTGAGGGCGTTTACCTTCTGGGAATCAAGGCCAGGTACTTGTCTCTACCAAAAATATATAGTAGCGGCTCCTCTTCGACGCCGCAGTGACCTAGAGATCGAAGAAATGGGAAATCGACGCTGTCTCGACGATTAAAAGTACAGTAACTTGTCCCTAATTCGCGCTCAGATTACGGCACGTTTTTATAGTTGTCCACAATCGGCAACTATAAAAACGAGACGCAATAGATTTATACTTTTCGACTTTAAGTTTAACATTCTTTCGACCTATAAAAAATATACCTTTCAATTTAAAAAAATATAAATATGACATCACCTTTTCCCTTTTCAAAACTCTAGAACTTTTATATTCGATAATTCTTAATTGGATGAATAATTTAAAAGTTACATGACTCACACTGTATATGAATGAAATTACTATCATTATTATTATTGTTATAGTATCGAAAAATAATATAAGATATTATTATAGTGTATCCAGAAAAATCGTCAATCAAGGAATTACAGTAATTTCTCCCTAATTATATAATAATCTAACTATATAATAAACTAACTACACTGTAATCTAACTAATTATATAATAACCTAATTATTTAATAAATAACGTTAGCATAGAGAAGCTATATACGTAAAAAAATTACAGTCATTTCTTACTAATTCGCGCTGAGATTGCGCACAAAAATGGACGATTTGGAAAGAGGAGACACGATTATTCGATCCTTGCGGCTCGTTTTTATAGTTACCGATTGTCAACTACTATAAAAGACGAGACATACATTTTTATATAATATTATGTATTTCTCCGTAATTTAAGCATACAGGGTGATTAACTAGCATCTTTTAGTATCGTTAACGAGGATATTTCTCTGCAACAGTTTTAGTGAAGCACCCTGTATAAGCACGAATATTTTCATAATTTAAATATACAAAACAATTTTTGAGCGAGTTACTGTGCCCTTAAAAAGATGGAGAGTTATAGTAATGTCTTGATTGACGATCTCGATATAATAATAATATATTATATTAGGTCTACACCGGAAAGTTCTGACCGATAGTGTCACTTCAAGTTTCAATCCATATGCACATGTTGATTTGAGACATATATGACTATCTCTCTTTATCATTGCATTTACACACATGTACTCTCCTAAATAAACTGAAACAAAGATGTCTCATGTCATTATTAAGCGAGACGCGATCGTGAAAACATGGCTACCGATGATAATGCCAGACCACATGCTGCTTTGGCGACTCGTCAGAAAATCGCAGAGCTAGGCTGGGAAATTCTGTCGCATCCACCATACTCCCCAGACCTAGCACCCTCCGATTATCACTTGTTTCTCTCTTTGCAAAACTTTTTACAGGAAAAAAATTCAAAACCGAAGCTGATGTCAACCAAGCAGTAGCTGAGTTCTTCGCCTCTAAAAATAAATCATTTTTTAAAAATGGCATTTACAAGTTGCCATCACGCTGGCAAGAAGTCATAAGTAACGATGGAAAGTATATTCTACAATAAATATTATTAAATGTATGAAAATTGTGTTATATTTCAATTCAAAAACAGACAGAACTTTCCGGTAGACCTAATA